GGAGGGGGAGGAGGAGGGGGAGCAGGCCGCCTCCAGCTGGGATGTGAGGAGGCAGTTTTGTTTAGTGGTCGAGCGAACAACCTTCGTAGTTAGGAGAACTGCTCTCTACTCCCGACTTTCCAGCTGTGTGGCTGTTGGAAAACTTCAGCTCTCTCAGCAAACACTTCCTCATCTGGAAAATGGGGCTCCCAGCACGAGGCACTCTGCAGGCTCCTCTCCCGAAGCCGAAGGACTTCACCAGAAGGGGCCATGGCGAGGGCGTTCCAGGCAGGGGAACAGCCCGCGTGAAGCCCTGGGAGTTAAGAGCATCAGGCCCTTTGGGGGCGCCGGGGTGGCTCAGTCGGTTGAGCAACTGGCTTCCGCTCAGGTCACCATCTCACGGTTTGTGAGTTCGAGCCCCACGTCGGGCTCGCTGCTGTCCGCACGGAGCCCACCTTGGATCCTCTGTACCCTTCTCTGCCCCTCCCTCGTTCCCTCTCTCTCTCAAAAAGAAATAAACATTAAAAAAAACCAAATAAAACAGCATAGGGCCCTTTAGAGAGCATCAGGCATCCTTCAGGGCTGCCCTGTTCCCTAGACATTTGTACGCGGAATCAGTGGTCCAAGGAGCCAGATTCCCTGAGCCTGGTGTCCTCATGTGTAAAATGGGGGAACCCCAAGGCACTGAGGATTCAGCCGGGAGGTGGCCATGGGCGGGGCTTAGCATGAGTCATAGTAGGCGCCCAAGCCCGGCAGCTGTGGTGACATTCGTTCGTGGCTGACGGGCAGGGGACGTGCCAAAGAGGAAGGACTCACGGGAGCGTCTGAACCAGCAGAAATAAATCAGCAACAGGGCCACTAAGAACACGGTCACCACGATCGCCACGATCGACCCGATGATGGTGATGGGCAGGACTGGTTGTGGCTCTTCCTCGTGAGGTTCTGCTGGAAGAGAAGCAGGAGCCAGGGTTGGGTTCCCAGATTTCAGGGGTCTTCACCTGCCCCCCCCCACCCCACGTTACTCGGTACCCTTTAGGAAGCTACCACTGCCCCTCCCTTGGTCTATACCGGTCAGCAGGACTTGACCCCACCCTGTGGTTCTTAGGCCGAGACTTTGACCCGGGCCAGGCCGATCAGAGCATTCCGTTCTCCATGGCTGTTGTGACTGATTCTCCGGGCAGGGGAGGGGGCTGGGACCCTGGCTGTGCCAATGACCGGCAGCCCTGGGACTTGGGCTGGAGCCTTCGAAAGTGGCGTATTCTCTCCCCTGGGGCTACTGAACTAGGGGAGACGCGAGGCTATAGCTGCTGGGGGACATCTCGCCTCTCTGAGCGCACACACAGCCAGCAGAGACGAGAGAGACGTAAAGGAAAGTTCTGGGGTTACACAGCTGGAGCGTGTGGATCCGACCATACCTGAAGGTGCATTTTTCAATCAAGTCCCTTTTTTCTTGCTTCGACTATTCGGGGTTGGGCTTCTGTGAACTGCAATTGACAGAGCCCTGCCTAATTTGCTTGGGAAGGCCCTTCCCAGTCCCTGGGGACAAGCCTCACGCAACCGCCCCGGCCTGGGTTTGCAGAGTGGTGTAGCCAGGAGGCTGGACGATGATTGTTGCAATGGTACAGATGGCGAGTTACCAGAGTAAAGAGGACTCCACTGGTCCTTTCGGGAGGGGGATGAGGGGTAGACTGGGAATCAGAGAGCGGTCTTGTGGCCGAAGACTCCCTAGCCAGGGGACCGCTTCCACACTTCTCCCTCAGAAGGGATCCTGCTGTCACCTTCTCCTTCTGTCCCTCTGTTCTCTCCACCCGGGGCAGTGGGGGGGGGGGCTCCTCACCTCTGATCAGGACGGTCATTTCTGCCTGGCCAGTCCCTCGGGCGTTGGTGACGTGGCAGATGAAAGTCGTGTTGATTGACTCGTCCACGGTACGGATCAGGAGGTGCGAGCCCTGGGCCTCAGCGGAGGGTGGCAGGGGGCCCCTGGTCCTGGGGAGACACGGACGGGTGAGGAAGCGGGAGGTGTGAGCCCTGACTGTATGAAGCTCACGCCCCCGTTTCTGAGCGAAGCCGACAGAAGCCCCGAAAGTTCCCCGACTCTTCCTCTCGTGCCCACACCCAGCCTATCAGCAGGTGCCGACCGCCCCACCCTCAAAACCTCTCCAGACTCGGACCACTCCGCCGCCCTCCCCGGCCACCCCCGCCCCCCCTGCCGGGGCTGACCCCCTGCTCTGGGCTGCTGTGGCCGCCTTCTCACAGGGCTCCCCGCCTCCGCTGCAGTGGCCGGAGACATCTCGTTAGAACCACCCTCCACTGTTCACAGCCCTCCCGCGGCTGCTGCGTCACTCGGCGTAAACCCCAAGTGCTTACCCGGCCACAGACCCCATGAGCTGGCTGCAGTACCACTGACCCCACTGTCTGTTCCTCTCCCCTTGGCTCTGCAACCACAGTGGCCTCCTTATCTTCAAAGGCTCCAGTTATGCCGCCGCCTCGGGGCCTTTGCATATGCTGTTCCCTCCGCCAGGAATGCTGTTCCCTCTGCCGGGAGTGCTCATCCCCTGGATGCCAGCACGGCGCATCGTCCCCTTCCTTCAGGCCTCTGCTCCTCAGTGACACCTTCGCTGGCCACCCTGTTTCAACTGTAGCGCCTCCCTCCCTCCCCCGCTTTCCCTCTTTCACAGCACTTCTCATCGGACACACCGCGCTTTACGGTGTTGTTCTGTTTATCCTTTCCCTCCCCACTAGAATGGAAGTGCCAGGAGGGGAGGGGATTTGGCCTGTCTCACTTGCCGAGGTATGTTGGCCAATGGGATCTGGCACACCGTGAACAGTCAAAAAGCTTTGGTTTAGGAGTTCTGGGCATTCTGCAGAGCCGGGACGGAGACCCGCCATGGGGCTCATGAGCCTGAATCACGGCTTGTGGTTTGAGGCAGGACAGGAAGGGCGTCTGCCAACACCGTTGGAAAGGCTTTGACCGAGACTCCTTTGGCCGGCGGTAGGGACCCGACCGTGGCTCTGCACAGACACGGACAGGCGGGGACGGTCCCACCGCTGCATCTGCGCGGTGCAAACGGGAAGTGAGCCCACGTTCAGGTCTGGTTAAATCGGTGATGGCGCGCATCTAGGACGGAACCCCAGCAGCACTGCAAAGGGGACCGTGGATGCTTTGAAATGCAGGAAAGGTAAAAGATTGGTGGGTGGAGGGAGGGGCGGACCGATGGACAGAAACGTGATAGAGCAGGTGCAGCAGAATGTCAGCGGGAGAATCCACGTGGTGGGTTTTTGAGCGTTCGCTGGAAAATTCTTAACACCTTTTGTGTACGTCTAAAACTTCCCCTGAGGAAACGCTGGGGGGAAGGGGGATGTGGATCTATGGGCTGGGACCCAGAGAGGCGTTCGTGCAATAAGGGGAAAGTTTCAAAACTGTACCTATAGCCCAGTTTTTGTTTAGAAGTGTAGAAGGATGGGTTGGCAGCGTTAGAAGCGGGAAGGATGTATAACAAAGGGTAACGGTCCATATTTCTGGAGGTGGCTGTGTCCGCTTGCCTACGGGTGCTATTCTCTTCTTGCTCGTAACTGGATCGTCTCAAGTTTCCATAATGGTCGTAAGTCATCTTGTAACAAGCACGAGAGCCCAATACAAATTACGAAAGGCAATCGGTCCCTCTGCCTTTTTCTTTCCTCACTCTTAACCCTGACCTTGGCATGACCTTGAAGAAATCTGATTGCTCTGTAATGGGGACAGCACCTGACTGGAGCAGATTACGTGAGGTGACCCGTGACAGGGTGGGGGTGGGGAGGTGGCACAGCCCAGAGGTTAAGAGGGTCGGTTTGCAGGCACTTCTGTCCCCTTGTGGCTGTGGGTCCCCCCGCAAAGGACTGCGCCTATTGGGGCCCAACTTAACTTTTTTCTTTAAGTTTTAAAAAAATGTTTATTATTTTTTGAGAGAGAGACAGAGTGCGAGCAGGGGAGGGGCAGAGAGAGAGGGGGACACAGAGTCCGAAGCAGGCTCCAGGCTCTGAGCTGTCAGCACCGACCCCGACATGGGGCTCGAACTCACGACCCGTGAGATCGTGACCTGAGTGGAAGTCGGAGGCTTCACCGACTGAGGCGCCCGGGGCCCTGCTTATCTTTAACCCTGGTAATAGTGCTTCCTAGGCCCAGAGTGTGGGTGTCACACGGGGTCCATGACCACCGGTGCACAGCAGACAACAGAAAAGAGCAGGTGTAATGGTGAACCTGAACTAAACCCCCTCATACGCTGTGCACACCAGACAGAAAATTTTACTGGGGCCTAAAGTCAACTTTTCTCTTTTTACTTTCTTGCACTTCCCTCCTCCCTCAGACCCAGGGGTTCAGGCCCCCAGTCCCTCCCCTTTCAGACCCAAGGACCCAGTCCCCCCAGCCCACCCCCCCTCAGACCCTGGAGTCCAGGCCCCAACCCTCCTCTCTCAGACCCAGCCTCCAGCCCTGCACCCCCTCCTCCCTCAGACCCAGGAGTCCTGCCCCCAGCCCCTCCTCCCTCAGACCCAGGAGTCCAGCCCCCAGCCCCCTCCTCCCTCAGACCCACGGGTCCAGCCCC